CGTGCATAATCTCCCCATACTGCCATCTATCCATATATCAAGTTTCATAAAAAATATTTTCAGTACTTTTTGCGTTATTGCGGGATCCAGGTTATGTGTAAAATTTGCCATATTTTCAGTCTATTTGTTGCCATAGCAACCAGAATTTCAACATAGGAAGAAAAGAAAAAGACGTGCATAATCTCCATACTGCCATCTATCCATATATCAAGTTTCATTAAAATATTTTCAGTAGTTTTTGTGTTATCGCGTGATCCAGTTTTGTGGACGGACGGACTGACGGACGGACAGACGGACGGACGGACAGACAGACGGACGGACGGAGGGAGGGTAAACCTAAAGTCCCCTCCGGTAAACCGGTAGGGGACTAATAATAAAAACATGTACATGCATAATCATAATATCACAATCTTTTCATAAGCTTTGATTATATCTTTGTCACTCTACATTTTTAAACAATTTTGCTTGCACAATGGAAACCAATTTTCCTCTACAAAGCCATGTTTGCATAACTGCCTTGTATACAGGTTATATCTGCGATAAAAATAACAATAAAGTTATATTATCCTACACAATCTTTCATTAATTTTACTAATAATCCGGTCACATATTCACAGAAAACGCTCACGGAAGAGCTAGGGATTAATTCCTGCATCGTCTGTAGCTACCTTACTGGCAGTAAGCTCTCTGTATTTGTAATGTAATCAATCTTAGTCAGTCCTTGTATATCTGTAGCGATCCTTGACAATTTTGAAACATGCACATCCAAATATGACCCATTAGAGATTAGAGCAGGTATTGCTGTATCAAGTATTACCCATTAGAGATTAAGAGCAGGTATGTTTGTATCAAGTATGACCCATTTGAGATTAAGAGCAGTTATGCTGTATCAAGTATTACCCATTAGAGATTAAGAGCAGGTATGCTGTATATAGTATGACCCATTAGAGATTAAGAGCAGTTATGCTACATCAAGTATGACATATTAGAGATTAAAAGCAGGTATGCTACATTAAGTATGGCCCATTAAAGATTAAGAGCAGGTAAGCTGTATCAAGTATGACCCATTAGAGATTAAAAGCAGGTATGCTACATTAAGTATGAACCCATTAAAGATTAAGAGCAGGTAAGCTGTATCAAGTATGACCCCATTTAGAGATTAACAGCAGGTAAGAAGCAGGTTATGTTGTATATAGTATGACCCATTTGAGATTAAGAGCAGGTATGCTACATCAAAGTTTGACCCATTAGAGATTAAGAGCAGGTATGCTGTATATAGTATGACCCATTAGAGAATTAAAGAGCCAGTTATGCTACATCAAGTATGACCCATTAGAGATTAAAAGCAGGTATGCTACATTAAGTATGGCCCATTAGAGATTAAGAGCAGGTAAGCTGTATCAAGTATGACCCATTAGAGATTAACAGCAGGTAAGAGCAGGTATGTTGTATATGTATGACCCATTTGAGATTAAGAGCAGGTATGCTACATCAAGTTTGACCCATTAGAGATTAACAGCAGGTATGCTGTATATAGTATGACCCATTAGAGATTAAGAGCAGGTATGCTGTATCAAGTATGACCCATTAGAGATTAAGAGCAGGTATGCTGTATCAAATATGACCCATTAGAGATTAACAGCAGGTATGCTACATCAAGTATGACATATTAGAGATTAAGAGCAGGTATGCTCTATCAAGTATGACCCATTAGCAGCTTAAGAGCAGGTATGCTACATCAAGTATGACCATTAGAGATTAAGAGCAGGTATGCTACATCAAGTTGAACCCATTAGAGATTAAGAGCAGGTATGCTGTATATAGTATGACCAATTAGAGATTAAGAGCAGGTATGCTGTAATATAGTATGACCCATTAGAGATTATCAGCTGGTATGCTGTATCAAGTATGTCCCATAAGAGATTAACAGCAGGTATGCTACATCAAGTATGACCCATTAGAGATTAAGAGCAGGTATGCTACATCAAGTATGACCCGTTAGAGATTAAAAGCAGGTATGCTACATCAAGTATGACCCATTAGAGATTAAGAGCAGATATGCAACATCAAGTATGATCCATTAGAAATTTAGAGCAGGTATGCTACATCAAGTATGACCAATTAGAGATTAAGAGCAGATATGCTACATCAAGTATGACCCATTAGAAATTTAGAGCAGGTATGCTACATCAAGTATGACCCATTAGAAATTAAGAGCAGATATGCTACATCAAGTATGACCCATTAGAGATTAAGATCAGGTATGCTACATCACATATGACCCATAAGAGATTAAGATCAGGTATGCTACATCAAGTATGTTTTGTTTGTTTGTTTCATTTTATTAAGGGGAGATAAAATACAAAAAATAAAATCATGAAAGATTTTGTAGGTTATCAAGTTTTTCAAGTTTTCTGATTTAACAAAAGATTATTACCTAAAACTAGAAATGCCTCACTGTAGTATAACATATTGCTAACATCAGAGCTGGCTTTCACTTACTTTCTCAAAGTCAAAATCTCAGCTCAAATCTGAGATTTGTTCTCAACTCAGAAACTTAGAATGAGATTTTTCTCAGTTTGGCTTTCACAGCTGTCTCAGTTAGTGAAAGTCGGGCCAGTTCTCATATCCTGCCATAAAACCTTGGAATAAGCTCTCACAAAATGTAGTGAATGCAAAAAAATATAACTGAATTATAGCAAGCTAAGAGTGAACAGTTTCTGGCAATGAATCTTGAAGCTTCTAAAATAAAATCTGACCTCTAAAATGTTTACAATTTTCCTATTATGATTTGACTTTATCCCCTTTGTCAAAAGACATCTAGAATCATGACAACTTGAACTACTGTAAAGGGTTTTAAATTCACTGGCATTGTATTTTCCTTTATACCGAAAGTAACTTATTCACAGCTTCATGAATTCCAGCATTTTTCTTAAACGCATAAGCTAAATTTTCGCGTTCTTGAAATAAAAAGATCAGGACACTTGATTGTAAAATTTCATACTGAACCATAATGTTCTGATAATACGCTAATGCCATTTATACATATCTAAAATTAATATGAGCCGCTTCATGACAAAACCAACATAGTGCGTTTGCAACCAGCATGGATCCGGACTAGCCTGCGCATCCGCACAGTCTGATCAGGATCCATGCCATTCGCTTACAACCTCTATAACAAGTAGAGAAACTGATAGCGAACAGCATGGATCCTGATCAGACTGTGCGGAGGTGCAGGCTGGTCTGGATCAATGCTGGTCGCAAACCCACTATGTTGGTTTTGTCATGACGCGACTCATATCAATAAATGCCTATCTTAAATATAAGAACTTCTATCACAATGGTTGACAAACACGTGCCACAAAATGTCTATTCTAAACAAACTGATATGATCAAGAGGTCACTTGCTTTAGCTGGACTTGATGAAAAGAAATTATCAGTAAACTGTCCTGTGTGATAAACGTTAACTGTACAATCTAACTGATATATGCTTTAGGCATTTATACTATAGAAATTAAAATATACATGTTTAAGGTTTTCATTTGCTGTGATAACTGTACATTTTCAGGGCTCGAATTTAACACTCGCAGACTAGCAAAATGCTAGTTGAAAAATGATTTTGCGAGTTAGATTTATGACTACTCGCAATTTTTTGCGAGTTGAAGAAAAAACGGAATACGCTCGTCAGGAAAATCCGAAATTATAAATGGGGCGTAATATTCGCAGGTAGTCCCAAGTTATGACTATGCGCACACTTGCTGTCTTGTTTACATTTTCTATACCTTAACCTCGCTTAAAAAAATACACAAATTTAAACAAGTCCAAATGTCATTTTGTCCGTGTAAATCAAGCGTGATCGGAATAAAATGTCTAAACGAAAAATAACGAACTTCTTCCCACTTACTGAAGCAAATGTGTCTTCTGATAACAATACTCTGAGTACAGAAGATGATTCACAGTCTATCAAAAGGAAGACAATCAGACCTTCAGTTAAATCGGTTAAAAAATGGGAGAAAGAACTGCATGTCAGTCTTATGTACAAACTTGATGAAGCTTGAAATGTTGCCAAAATATTTTGCGCCGACTGTTGTGCGCATAATCCAGACCAGATATCGTCGTTATAGCGACAATATTGCATTATTATTTTTTTACATGTAGATTGACATTTGATAAGAATCCCTGTCCCCTAAATCAAGTTTTCGAGTAGAAAGTTACGTTGCTGATTCGTACCCCGGGCAGTTTGAACTCGTCCAAATAAATTACAATTTTAATTTTGTTATTCTCTATATCCAGCAACAACTTTGTCTTTCAGCACATCAAATAATTAAACTTAAATTTGAAGTATTATAATTTTTTTCATGCCCAATTTCATGATTAAGTTAGCTGTTACAAAATATGTTAAAGCCTTTAATGCAGAAATAAAAAAAAAAAATTCATATTAATAAAAACATTTTCAATATAATTCATTATTATGATACATAATTGTAGCAACAATGAATTTATTATTATGGTACATGATAATTTAAACAATTAATGAATGTACACAAAAGTTTAAACAATTTTGGAATTAAAAAATCATTGTAGTAAAAGTGCTAGTTAAATTCAGTTTTTGCTAGTTAAAAATTTGTCCACTAGCAAAAAATTGCTAGTGGCCAAAAAAGTTAAATTCGAGCCCTGCATTTTGTGTGACTGTGTGTACTTAATTGATGTTTATGTCAAAGATTGCCTTGTGAATTAAAAAAAAATTGAAACCATAATATTTCTTAACATACTTATATTGTTCTTGTATTGGGATATTTATTTTCTAATATTTACAACACTTATACTGCAAAATGAATTTTGTGTAAAACTTAAACAACTATTTATGAATAACACAATAATTGTTACACAAATAGTGGTTTTTGAAATCAAAGATTTTTTAAAAAGCGGATATGGAAGAAAATCAAAACCATGAATCAACTTCCCTATAAACAGTAGCACATACAAGCCAAAACTTTAACCAATTTCCAATTTGCAATAAAAAGAACTTACAACATTATCTTCCAGTACAGAGAAAACACAGGTGTACATGTCTGATTGATCAATGATTACTCTCCTGTGTACATCTGGTTGACTAGCAGTTTCACTGGCCTGTCAATTAAAATGGTATAACATTTAAAAGGGCTGAATGACAAAAGAAAACACATTAAAATGGCTTACAGTTCAACTGGCCTGTAAATTAAAAGGTTAAAGCATTTAAAAGGACTGAACAACAACAACAAAACGTTACAAGAGCCACCGCTGGGCGGGGGCAACGCTCGACTTTTTACTTTCTCTAAAAGCAAACAAAGAAATGTTTGAACAAAATCTAAACTTTTCCTTTTTTTTAAAATTAATCGGTCTGTCTTGTCACATTAGTTTTGTCTATATATTTTAAATAGAAACACCCAATTCTATTAATAGAAAATTCTATAAACAGAAACACGCAATTCTATAAATAGAAACACGCAATTCTATAAATAGAAAATTCTATAAATAGATACATGTGGTGGAGTCACGTGGTGACACATGGTGGTGTCACGTGGTTGACACATTGTGTCACATTGTGGTGTCATGTTGTGGTGTCATGTTGTGGTGTCACGTGGTAGAGTCATGTGGTAGAGTCACGTGGTGGAGTCACGTGGTGGAGTCACGTGTTGGAGACACTTGGTGGAGTCACGTGGTGGAGTCACATGGTGGAGTCACCTGGTGGTGTCACATGGTGAAGTCATGTGGTGAAGTCACGTGGTAGAGTCACGTGGTGGAGTCACGTGGTGGAGTCATTTGGTGGAGTCACGTGGTGGAGTCACTTGGTGGATTCAATTGGTGGAGTCAAGTGGTGGTGTCACGTGGTGGTGTCACATGGTGAAGTCACGTGTTGAAGTCACGTGGTAGAGTCACGTGGTAGAGTCACGTGGTAGAGTCATGTGGTAGTCATGTGGTAGAGTCACATGGTAGAGTCACGTGGTAGAGTCACATGTTAGAGTCACGTGGTAGAGTCAAGTGGTGAAGTCACGTGGCGTAGTCACATGGTGAAGTCACGTGGTGGTGTCAAGAAACAACAAGGTCTTGTCCTTAAGTATGTTCTGTTATAATATGAAGTTGATCCCTTCAATAATAGCAAAGTTACAGCCAGTTACAGCCAAAATAATGAAAATTTTAATAATTTGAACTTCAAAGTCAAGGTCATTAATGAGTGAAGGTCAAGGTCTGTCTGGTTATTTTTAAGGGTTATCCTTGAAGATTTTTATGTTCAAGTTTGAAGACAATCCATTCAAAAATAACAAAGTTACAGCCAATAACAGCATGAACAAGCAAAATTTGGACTTTGAACCTTGAAGGTCAAGGTCATTTATGGATGAAGGTCAAGGTTAGTGTGATCTACTGAAAGGTCTTGTCCCAAGGGTTGTTGTGGCCAAGTATGAAGACAATACACCAAGAAATAAAAAAGTTATGATCCAGGTTGCCCTTCCGCGACTGTAGCAATACTTCTACTTTTTTTTCAAAAAAAAAAAAAGTCGAGCTAAAAATGACTTCCTAGCAGTTTCACTGGCCTGTAAATTTTTTTGCTACTAATTTTGATTTTATGCAGTTTTAGGTTACATTTTTTTTTATTCCAAGCAGATCCCTAAGTTTCATAATTATGAAATAAGGGTTTTCTTTTTGATATGCACTGACAAGGGCCAACATTTCTGCCTTCATGTGACTGTTGTTGACCTGATTTAGCATATCTACAAAACAATAAATCAATACTGATGATCTAGTGGTATTTTGAATATAATCTTACCAGAGCTAGCATTTCTGCCTCCAAATGAGTTTTGTAGACCTGATTCAGCATATCTACAACACAATAAATCAATGTGTTTTGAATATATACTTACCAGGGCCAGCATCTCTGCCTCCAAGTGAGTTTTGTAGACCTGATTCAGCATATCTACAACACGGGATATCACAGGTAGCCTAGCTTGTTGCCCTGGTAACAGCATCTGTCTACATACATCTAGGATCACACTTTTACTGTTTTGTCTTTGAAGAAGGAACTTAATCAAGCGACACTGACAAAGAAAATATAAATATAATGGTATAATATGAAACAAGAGGGCCAAGAGGGCCCTGGATCCCTCACCTGAGAAATAGGTCAAAAAGTTTAAGTGGAGTCCCTTTCACCCGAGAAGAAATTGCGAAAATCAAAACATTGAGAAAAATACAGGATTTACAGTACATAAAATGAAAATCAATAAACCCTAGGGCTGGGTCAATTTTGACCCTAGGGCTTTCATTTGAACAAACTTGGTAGACATCCACTAGAAGATGTTTTATGCAAAATATCTAAGCACTAGCTCTTTTGGATTTTCACAAGAAGTTTTTTAAGTTTATACATGTATATATAAGGAAAATCAATGCCCCCCTGGGATGGGGCTAATTTTGACCCTACAGCTTTTATTTGAACAAACTTTGTAGACATCCATTTGAAGATCTTTCATTCTTAATATCTAAGCTCTTGCTCTTTGGGTTTTTTTAAAGAAAATCTTTTTAAGTTTTTACTATAGACATGTAAGGACAAGAATGTCGAACGACACATATACCCCCCCCCCCCTTTCTAGCCATTGACTCACATAATTGGGTAATTTTATTAAAGAAACTTGCCAAAATGGGTACATGGAAGTGTTTCAATTATGGAAAAATCAAAGGAAACCATTTTGACATTTAAGGCCCATGTGACATTGACCTTTGACCTAATGACCCCTAAATCAATAGAGGTCATCTAATACTTATGACCAATAACTAGGTGAAATATGAAGACTTTGTGATGAATACTTTTCAAGATAATCAGCGGAAACCCTTTTGACATTTAAGGCCCCTGTGACCTTGACCTTTGACCTAGTGACCCAAAAATCAATAGGAGTCATCTACTAGTGATGAACCAATCACTATGTGAAATATGAAGACTTTGTGATGAAATTCTTTTTAAGATAATCAGCAGAAATAATTTTCACATTTTAAAGGTCCCTGTGACCATTGACCTTTGACCTAGTGATCCCAAAATCAATAGGGTCATCTACTAGTGATGACCAATCACTGCGTGAAATATGAAGACTTTGTGATACATACTTTTTAAGATAATCAGCAGAAACCATTTTGACATTTAAGGTCCCTGTGACCTTGACCTTTGACCTAGTGACCCCAAAATCAATAGGGGTCATCTACTAGTTATGACTAATCACTATGTGAAATATGAAGACTTTGTGATGAATACTTTTCAAGATAATCAGCGGAAACCATTTTGACATTTAAAGCCCCTGTGACCTTGAACTTTGACCTAGTGACCCCAAAATCAATAGGGGTCATCTACTAGTTATGACCAATCACTGTGTGAAATATGAAGACTTTTGTGATACATACTTTTCAAGATAATCTGCGGAAACCATTTTGACATTTAAGGTCCCTGTGACCTTGACCTTTGACCTAGTGACCCCAAAATCAATAGGGGTCATCTACTAGTTATGACCAATCACTGTGTGAAATATGAAGACTTTTGTGATACATACTTTTCAAGATAATCAGCGGAAACCATTTTGACATTTAAGGTCCCTGTGACCTTGACCTTTGACCTAGTGACCCCAAAATCAATAGGGGTCATCTACTAGTTATGACCAATCACTATGTAAAATATGAAGACTTTGTGATAAATACTTTTCAAGATAATCAGCGGAAACCATGTGGTCTACCGACGGACAGACCGACAGACCGACAATATGAAGACTTTGTGATAAATACTTTTCAGGATAATCAGCGGAAACCATGTGGTCTACCGACGGACAGACCGACAGACAGACAGACAGACCGACATTAGCAAAACAATATACCCCCTCTTCTTCGAAGGGGGCCATAAAAATCAGACCCCCAGGGCCAGGCAAGAGAGATGAGGAGATGTCGTTTAAAGTAAAAATTTACGGACGCCAGACGAAAAGCGATCACAAAAGCTCAGTGACAGGTGAGCTAAAATGGAAATTAACTATTCTCAAAAAAGAATATTACCGATAACTAATCATCTCTAACTTGTCTGCTTTTCAAACTGGAAAAATCCATTGATCTCTTTCAGGGAAATTTTCTAAATAAGTACTGAAGGATTGAAGGAATAGCAACAAGTGGAGACCATGTTCAGAAGCATGGATGTGCTGGTTAATCTTGGTCTACACTGGGTCCATGTGTAGAATCAATTGTCACCAGCATGACAAAAAGACTTAAATCAATGCATAAGACCCTCAATAATACTTTATTTTGTAATTGTTTTCAAAGACTCTTATAAACAGGGTGTCCCAAAAGAAAAGAAACACTTTGAAATCTCAATATTTTTGCTTTATATTCGACTATTTAAATTAAAAATACACCATTTTAAAGGGTAAACTATGAAGTTTTTATAAGCGGTACTAAAATTGTAACGTTTTGACGTCATGACGTCATTTCAAAAATAACATATTTTTCAAACTAGGCATGTTTGACACTTAGATCAGCACATTTTTGTGGTGAAATAATATTATGAAACTAAAAGTGTTACTGATGTTTAAATCAATTTAAGAAATCTACTGTGAGCAGAGAGAACATTTACAAAATTTTGAACAAGTTTTGAACAGTTAGGATCAGTTGCTGATGCTCCGAAATCTGGTCTACCAACAACAAGTAATGAAAATGTGAATTCTCTTCGAGATTTGTTAAATGAGAGTGTCAAGTGTCAAAAAGATTGGATAAATAGATTGCAAGATATTGTTACAGACAGATGGAAAGACGGATGGATAGACGGATGGATGGATGGATGGAAAGACATCATGTCAATATCTAATAATAATTACAATAAAAACAATATTAAAATACCTTATCTGGAATCATAGTTACTAATGGGACAAGTTGCCGTTCTACATTCCAAAGACATCCTGAAAAATCAAGTTCATTTCATATTTCATAATTCCAACAACAATTTGATTATAAAACAATTTTATTTCATTGTATTTTTTTAGGATAGAAATGTCTGCAAATTTATCTTTTTTATATGTTGGCTTGGCTAATTATCACACATTAATGGTGTCAGTGCATGGCAACAGAAAACCATGTAGAAATATTTGATTTTTAATATTTACAAGAATGTGTTTGGTAAACTAAAATGTCCCCGCCCAGATTTTTGTCAGAAACAAATTTTCTAAAAAGGTTTACCCATTCCCTAAGTTATGGACAAAAAATTGCTAAAAAAAAACCAATGTAAACACAGCTATATAACTTGAAAGACTCATGACTTTTTGTTAGTGTGAAAAATGTAAGTTGGCATGTCATTGCTATTTGATGAAGTTGTTTATCAATTATATATAATACCAGACCTTAGCCTTGATTCCAGTGACCTCAAACTCCAAACAAACTTTAATGACAACCTGAGGTAAAATGAGGTAAAATGTAAAAATCTATTGTTAGCACAGGTGACCTTGACTTGTGAGCCGACACTGGACCATCCAATGTATGTTCATTCCTAATGTGAAACATATCAGTCAATAATTAAAGGTTGTATAAGCAAATGTGAAGAAATCTTTTTTTTTTGCACACTTGACCTTGACCCACTGACTTTAATCTCAATCCAAAGGAAGAAGACCATGCAAGTTATCTGTCAACTTAATATGAAAAACATCAGTCAATAATAGAGGCTGCATAAACAAATGTGTAGAAATTTATTTTGGCACTCTCAACCTTGACCCACTGACCCTAACTAAATCAAAAGAAAAAGAACTTAAAAGTTATCTTCCTATCAAATAAAACTGACATCTGTCAATAAATAAAGGCTGTGTGAGCAAAAGTGTAAAAATCTATTTTAAGCACTGATGGCTTTGACCCAACTGTCCCCTAACTCCTACAAAAGGTAGAAGACTTCTTAAGTTATGTTCCTATCATATATAAGACATCTGTCAATTAATGAAAGTTTTAACTGTGAAAGTATAAAATATCTATTTTTGGCAATGGTGATCTTGACATTGACCCAAATGACCCCTAACTACACCCGAAGGAACAGGACCTACATAGGCATGTCCATATTAAACATGACAGGTGTCAATTTCAAATAAAGGCTGTATGAGCAAAAATGTGTAACAAAATAATTCGAGACTCAAGTAACTCCTAACTACATCAAAAGTAAGAGGACCATTAAAAGTATCTACCTACCAAATATAGAAGACATAATTACATAAAAGAAAATATTAGGAGAAATTTGAGAACTAAATCCAACTTGCTGGAATAGATTGGGGTCAATTTGTCCAATAATATTGATTATCCCTGGAAAATGGAGTGAGCAAATGATCTGAAATTTTGCATACAAACCTACATAGTTACAGTTATACAAAAATCTTAAAAAAAGATTTTTGGTTCTTCATGTCAAAAACACCAAGTGGAGTCCTTTTAAAGTAAAGATAACAACTTGTCATTGAAAAACATACAAATGGTTCCGGAGCTAGCCCTAATAAAAAGTGTATTCATAATCCATGTAAAAAAAATTTATGCCGGAAAATATGACATTTAACCAGAATTCTACCTATAACTAACAGAGTTTGAGAAGTTTCTGCATAATATATACTGGATATTAAATAGGTGTTGGTTCAATACTGAATTTATTGAATGGGTTGAATAAAATTATATAATTATTATACTATATTATTAAATAATATCTTTTGATTACATAACGAAAACAAAGACTGTTTAAAGTTCAAAAGAATAATTTTTCATAGACGCACATGTAGAGTAACATTCACATTTAGTGCATCAAAACATTTTATATTGCAAATGACATCACATCAAGATATATGCATGGCTGTAACTGGCAGTTGTATGTGATAAATATTATCATTTTGATAAGTTACAGCACTGACAGTGTCTTGGGCTAGATAGCATCATTAAATTTACAAACTTGCCTTTATTTTTACTTCTTTGAACAATTTCAAAGTTTACATGGAATTAAATGTAAGATTTGGAGGCATATTACTTTAAAGTCTACCACGTGCTAGTTATGTGTACATTATATAAAAACGTGATGTCAGTGACATTTAAAAACTGTACAAAGTTGGCGAATACATGAGAACAGTGTTAAGAGCTGTCACTGAAGTAGATACCTTAAAAAGTAAAGAATTTATAATATTTCTTAAAGGAAATCCTAAGTTCAAAGAGAGATAAATCTGAAAATACTGCTTCAAGAGTTATGATCTGAAATCTGCATGCGGACACTGAGGCGAGTAGGAAAGCTCTCCATATATGTTGTTTAGTCAAGCTCAAAATGATGTCTTAAACACACTTAAAAGTTAAAAGACAAGTCAGGTTTTTGAAACATTTGGTAACTGTCATGAAGTTTGTTTTTTTATCTTCAGCTTCAATAAGAAAATAGTTCTAAACAAAGCCTGTCAATGGACAGCACCCTCCACCTTTCACAGACTGCTACATGGAGTGAAAAATATTCTGCCATAGAGCTTAGCAGACTTACCATATTTGCCAATCATAATGAAAAAGTACATTTGTATTTCAAAGAATTGAATATCTTTAACAGAAACAAAATATTCTAAGCGTTTTAGTTTCAGACACAAGTTTTTCAGATATATTAACTATACAAGTCTATATAAAGTGACCATCTAGACATGTTTTTTTTTTCTTTTGTTGTTTTTTAAACATAATGGGCTAATTATTTTTGCAGGTTAAGTGTCATAATTATGGAAAGACAAACACATGGACAGTACAAAACACTGGTCTATAATACTTTCCTAAATTTGTAAATAGGCTGTTAAAGAGCTTACCTAGTTTTGCATCTATGACAATGTCTGGCTGGAACACAATCCAGTTGGCAGAATCTGTATTGGGTTAAGATCATATGCACAGTACATAACAGAGCTTAAATATTTCAAAAACAATTCTATTGGATGTCACCTACAAAGTTTGGTGATGATCTTTACAGGATGTAGTACCACTAGCTTTTTATTATAACACTTTGTCTACCGGTTGTGAACATTTTTTTATCAAGTAATACATATATCCATCCACACATGTAGAAGAAATGCTGCTGTCAAAGAGAGACACTGTCTTGACGCAGCCCACCTACAATATACATCCCATTTTGTTAAACAAGAGGGCCAAAATGGCCCTAGATCGCTCACCTGACCCATCAAACTCATCCGAGCAATTCCTAGACAAGCATTCTGACCAAGTTTCATGACAGACCTGTGAGTCAAAAATGTGACCACTAGAGTATTAACAAGGATTTTCCATCTTTGAGCAGTGTGACTTAGTTTTTGACCTCAGGTGACCCATATTCAAACTTGACCTAGAAATCATCAAAACAAACTTTCAGACCAATTTCCAGGATATTTGGATCAAAAAGTAGTCACTAGAGTTTTAACAAGATTTTATTATTTTCAGCTCCTGTGACCTAGTTTTTCATCTTAGATTACCCATTTTTGAACTCATCCAAGCTTTTACCTAGACAAGCATCCTGACAAAGTTTGATGATGATTGAGGCAAAAATGTGACCGCTAGAGTGTTAATGAACAAGTGTCATCGGATGACTGACATTCAACATTCCTAAATGCTCACCCTGAACTAGCTCAGGTGAGCCAAAAAGGCTTATAAAAGTTTACCTCAGTTGCACGTGATTGATTGATTTTCTTTAAACTGGGCAGTCAAGGATAACCTACAAAAGTGCAAGCACTTATTTCAAAAGGGTCCTTGCTATGAGAAACAAGGGAATCCAGGAACCATTCCATAGCTCTTTTTGAATAGATCCCTTGGGTTTTTTAAAATCCCAGTGTAAAAGCACTCATACATGCAGGTACCTGGCTTTCTCCAACCCGTTTTACCTATCTATCTATCTATCTTTTGGGGGGTGCCAACCCCTCTTAAAGAGTGTTAAAAGGGAAGGTTTTACATGGTTTTAAAATTTTAAAAAACAGCTTTTTAAAAACAAGGGGAAACCGGGAACCATCCCCAGCTTTTTATTGAAAAACCCCCTTTGGGTTTTTTTAAAAAGCCCAGTGGGATTTCCTCTAGGGTAGGGGGGAAACACGAAAATGTTTTTTGAAAAAAACCCAAGGTTTTTACCCGGGTTTGAACCCCAAACCTCAAGGAAAAGAAAATTCAGTTTGGGTTAACCCAAAAGAGGGTATCGTGGCCCCCTTTAGTAACTTTTAAATTTATTTTTGAAAAACTATTTATAATATATTACTTAATCATTATAAACAATAACATTACAAAATAACAGATTTTATAAAAAAACAAGTGCTGTTTTAATATTATAGCTTTATTGAAGTTTGTGCCATAAACAAAAACTTCACCAAAAAGGATAAGGTTTTTTTCTTTGAAAATTGGAGCTATTAAAAGGGCCACTTGATTATGACATTTTTTGTCTTCAATAACAGATGGTGAAATAGTATTCTATACAAAGGATACAAAGTTCACATGTGTACTCCATTTTCTCCTGACCTTGCTGTATATTCAACGCTGAAAAATGGCAAAGAACCAAGTGAGCCGCGTCATGACAAAACCAACATATTGCGTTTGCGACCAGCATGGATCCAGACCAGCCTGAGCATCTGCGCAGTCTGATCAGGATTCATGCTGTTCGCTTACCAACTCTATTACAAGAAGAGAAACTGATAGCGAACAGCATGGATCCTGATCAGACTGCGCGGATGCGCAGGCTGGTCTGGATCCATGCTGGTTGCAAACCCATTATGTTGGTTTTGTCATGACGCGGCTCAAATTATAGTCAACATAACCTAGGGCTTCTGTGGCCAAGTGGTTTAAGGTCGTTGACTTAAAACCACTTGCCTCTCATCTCTGTAGGCTCAAGCCACACAAGTGTGTTCAGATTTTTTCATTTGAGAAAGTTCTCCAGCTTGAAGTTTAAGGATAGTTGGTGGTTCTACTCAGGTGTCCATTTGTGCCTAAAGAAATGCGCCAGTAATGCTGCTACACAACCTTATAGCTGTGTTGGTGCGACATATAACCCAACAAACAAAGAAAAAACAAAACAAAAAACAACTAAATTTGCCTCATCACTTTTATCACAGTAAATGTATATTTCCATATAGCCAGTGTTTACATTAATCCAATGTTTGGACATATTTTACAACTCAACAACAAAGTTTTCAACTAAAATAATTTAACTCTGTCAGTGTCTTAGTGAAACATTTTACTTATTTCTTCAATAAAGTCCATTAAAATTGTGTGTGTGTATCTGTAACAACTGGCATTTTCTTAATATTCTTATATGTAGAAAACAACACTTTTTGATTAAAATAGTGAAGATAGTTTCAATATTTTTAAATGGAGGTATAAAAGGTTTACGTATTAAAATTTTCATGCAGTAGAGGCTATCCCCCACTTTAAATTTAATGGGGAATTAAACCCCGTTAAATGTGCTTAAAACCCAAGGGGGGACATTGGTAGTACTTTTCATGTACATCAAAAAACATAAAAAAACTAGAGAAAGAAACATCATTTTCTTTCAGAATAAGTCTTTTCCCTTATGAAAAAGAATTGTTCAAAACGAAGCATCCACCACTTTACCCAATTTATTTTATAAATCTTTTTTAAATAAAAAATAAATTTTATTTAAAAAGGGGGGTGGCCCCGGCAAAAAATCATCAAGATGCATACACAAGTTCAAAGTCATAGTTTAAGTTATTTACATGAAACAAAAACTTCATTAATTGTCACCTTAATGCAGTAACAGGTTAAGTCCTTCTTAATTTAATAGGAGTTAACCAGTTATTGCACTAAGGTAACGATCTTATCAAGGTGCATCTACATACAATGTGTACAAGGTTTGAAGTTTCTCTGTCAATGCATTTTGTAAATTGGCCAGTTTTTTGGGTGTTTTTTTTTTGTTATTTAAGGCCCTAGTGACCTTGACCTCATCAATGTGCATCAACAGATAAAGTTAGCAATCTCATTTAAATCAGATTATCGTTTTCGCTTCATTACTCTTATTCGCTACCAAGCAAAGGGTAGTGGAGCAACAGTTACGATATGATTTTAATAAGACTGTTAAGTTAGTGACCATAAATAAAAAACTCTTTGAAAAGTGGAGCAAAAAAATGACACAAAAGGGTGGAGTTAACAGGGACTTACTTGGAAGGAGGAGCTTAAATGGTTTGATTGGTAAAGGTGACACCACTGGGTAATGAGTCGTTACATAGCCATCTGTTTCCCCATCCAAGTGAATATCAAATATCACAGATGTCTGAAAATCAAGAACAACAAAGCTTACATAATTATATTTTCACATACCATCTGCTTTTCACAACAACTACACCACCCAAGCCACTGCCTGTCTTTTACTATATAATTTAACTCCCACCAACAGCCACTCTTTTCTCAAAAAGGAAATCTTCTTCTAGAGCGGCCAGCAAAAATCTTTTTGGGGTGACTTTTCCATTTTTAAACATATTTAAATTTTTTCTTTATTGCTTTTCCTATTTTTCAACTTAAAAAATAATGGAATTCATTAATGGAAAGCCAATCTTATTTCTGTATGTAAAGAATGTATGACTATTGTACAGGAAAACTTACATTGTTGAATTAGATTTAGAATGAGAAAATTGTACATGTATATGTTTGAACACCTATGCATTTCATAAAGTTCCATTTTCTCCAAGCTAAATGCAGGAGCTGTAGATCTAATTAATGTCCTAAGTAGTCTACAATTTAAAAGTGGCTACTGAACCGGAAATCGCTTGCCAAACTGCGCGAATATAAAAGTTTTTGTTTTGGGGTTTGTTTGTTTTTTTTATTGTTTTTTTTTTTAATATAAAACTATGTTTGTCTGTGAGCATCAACAATTCTTAAGTAATGAATACCTGTACCGACATATAGATGATAACCACTTGAAAGGGTCCTGTATTCCTAATTTGTTATGTCTCTACATCTCTACATATTTCAATTACAGTAAAACTAATAAAAAATTTCATCTGTGACACAAATTCTCCAAGCAACAACTCTCTACAACAGCCATTTCTGATAATTCCAGCTGGCTGTTGTAGGGAGGTTGCATTGTAAAGCAAGTTAACTAAAAAGAGCTGTCACCCAAATGACGAATGCTCCTGAAAAGGTTTCTTAACCTTGCAGGTATTATGAAAAGATAAGGGAATCAAAGTAACTAATTGCTGAATATTGTTCTTTGTATAATTGTACGGTACCTGTAATCTCTGATTGTGATAGTATGAACCTTCAAAATATAATTGTGACCTTGACCTTTGAAGAAGGTACTTATTCCTGGATGCGACAAAATGTTGTTATGAGATAGACATTTGTGCCAAATTATTACAAAATCCCTCAATGCATGACAAAGATACAGTCTGGACATGATTGTTGTGTAAGTGGGGACACACAGACAGACGGACATGAGCCTTAGCAGCGACACATTTTCTTGATGTGGTAGACATTTGTGCCAAGTAATTTTAAAATCCTTCCATGCATGACAAACTTACAGTCGGACATGAATGTGTATCTTCAAACTCTTTTCGAGAAAATGAGTACCTTCAAACTATAAGTGTGACCTTGACCTTGAAGGTAGGAACATGAGTCTTTGTCGCGACATGTTGTCTTGATGACATTTATGCCCAGTTATTTTAAAATCCTTCGATGCATGACAAAGTTACAGCCTGGACACGAATGTGTGTAGCTATAAACTCTAATTGTGATAAAGTGAACTTCAAAATGGTAGTGTGACTTTGAAATTTGAGGTAAGGACGTGATTATTGAACGCAACACATCGTCTTGATGTTGTAGACATTTATGCCATGTTATTTTAAAATCCTTCTATGCATGACAAAGTTACATCCCAGACACAATTGTGAGTACCTATTAATTCTAATTGTGATAATGTGAAACTTCAAAATGTGAGTGTGACCTTGACCTTTGAGGTAGAGCAGTAATTCTTAAACGAGACACATCGCCTTGATGTGGTAGACATTTAAGCCTAGAATTTCAAAATCATTTGATGCATGACAAAGTTACAGTCCAGACATGAATGTGTGTACCTATTTACTCTTATTGCGACAATGTGAAACTTCAAAATGATAGTGTGACCTTGACCTTTGAGGTAGCGATGTGGTTCTTGAATGCGACACATCGTCTTGATGTGGTAGACATTTGTGCCAAGTAATTTTAAAATCCCTCAATGAATGACAAAGTTACAGTCTGGACACGAATGAAGTGGGGACGCACAGACGGACGTACTTACAAAATGGTACTTATGTGACTTTTCCTTTGATCTTTTTAGCCATTTTTAGTCACACAAGGCTTAAAAAAAGACACACAAGTAAAAACGGAATGAATAGGAACAAAGAGAATTTACTGTTACCCATTGTTCTCCAAGTCACACAATTACCTCTGGGTTTGTACGGACAGACGGATGTACTTACGAAATGGTACTTATGTGACTTTTCCTTTGATCTTTTCAGCCATTTTTAGTCACACAAGGCCTAAAAAAAGACACACAAGTAAAAACGGAATGAATAGGATCAAAGAAAATGTACCGTTACCCATTGTTCTCCAAGTCACACAAGTACCTCTGGGTTTGTATGGACAGACGGATGGACTGAAAGACGGTGCGATTGTATTATGCCTCCCTTCGGGGGCATAAAAACATTGTTTATACTATGGCTGAACCCTGTTAATACATATTATTTCTTAAAAGCATAGGAAGCCTTGGAAATTAATGATTTTTCTTCCAAAGAAAATGCAAACTTTTGCTTTATGTTTTAAAAATGGATTTAAAGCATGTTGTATGCTTATCTTGTGAAGCAAGCAGTGATTGAGTGGAATGTGAGAAGTGTGGCATAAACTACAACTTGACTAATGGCCAAAAGTTAAACAAGAGGGCTATGATGGCCCTGAAATTGCTCACCTGTATATAGGCCCCCGGGGCGAGGCCAATTTTAACCCAAGGGCTTTTATTTGAACTAACTTGGTAGACACTCACTAGAAGATGTTTCATGCTTAATATTTTAACTCTAGCTCTTTAGGTTTTTTAAAAGAACATTTTTTAAGTTTTTGCTATACCCGGGGCAGGCCAATTTTAAACCCAGGGCTCTTATTTGAACAAACTTGGTATACACCCATTAGAACATGTTTCATGCTAAACATCTGAAGTCTAGCTCTTTTGAGTTTTTTTTAAAGAAGATTTTTAAAGTTTTAACTATATTACATATAGGGAAAATCAATGACCCCCTTGGGCAGGGCCAAATTTGACCCCAGGGCTTTTATTTAACAAACTTAGTAGACACCCACGTGAAGATGTTAAAGTTTTTTCTTTTGGTTGCCATGGCAACCAGAGTTCTGCATGGAATTAAATTCTTTGAACAATTTTTAAAGGTGACCACCAATGGAACATTCCTGTGAAGTTTGGATGAAATTGGCTTAGTGGTTTATGAGGAGATGTCGTTTAAAGTAAAAGTTTAGTTTTATTTCCATTCAAATTGTAAGCATTCACTTGAAAGAATAACATCTTCAGAAACTATTTAATGAAAGGCTAACAGTGTACCTTTCACTAAAGAGTATGCTGATGGATGTTTACTCACATCAACAACAACAAAAATAATCAATACAAAGGACTTGTAAGTGCTACTTCACACATAATGTCTTTAAACTGTAACATTCGTTAGCATGTACCATGCGAGGATCAACAGGAAACTTGTTAACCGGAGAGACAATTTGCGGTAGTGTCTTTACATAATCTACACAGACATAAAGATACTTTCAAAACTTTATCCTTGGTCAGTATGAAGGCAGATGAATACTGAATAAAGCAAAAGTAGTAAACAAAGGCACCACATTGACATGGCAATATATGCCCAAATGTAAATTAGTTTCAAGAAATCAAAATTGTAACATAATCAAAAATGATCTTTAAATAAGGGCGGAGAGAACCATTGATAATGCCAAGTAATTATGCTTATGTCACAAGATTACTAAGAAAAAATTAAATACATTAAGGGAAGGTGGTGGTGGTATTGGTATTTTTCCCTCAGAGTAACAAAGAAAAGTATATATTAAAAAGAATAGACTGATTTACCTTAGAAGCCTGGTGATGTACAACAATAAGACTGTCCACCACATTTATAGCAAATCTACCGCTCATTTCCAACTTTAACACATTAGTCTTTTTAGCTGGAGCCTCCCTGAAATATAAATAGAAAACCAATTCTATATGAAATGGAAAAAAATTAGATCTTCCACTAGTGTTTTTACTAATAAATCTTAAAGGAGAGGTTTCTAAGACCAATAAAGGTTCCTCAAATATATAATTATATGCCTCGATAAGTCTGTTAATTAACTAGGCTATTATTATTATTTGAGGCATTCTGCACAGTAAACAGATCTGGTATAGTCTAATATTTCTATTACTTACTTGTGTTGTTGTATCTGGTATAAGACAACTTCCGCCCCCGCCACACCAGGTCTAGGCTGATGACGTAATACAATAATGTACAGCTGCCCATATCTGATAAGATGAAAGTAAAATAATGTACAGCTGCCCATATCTGATACTGTATGTGTATTTAAATTCCCGGAAGCAAATTTTCGCGGAAAGGTCCATTTTGGGGGTATATACAAATATTCGCGCTATTTTGAATTCGCGGAGGTGACTGCCGAAAATCATAAATTCGCGTACACCCATCAAGTTAAAAAAAATAAGGGAAATTACTCTTACACGATTAGTAAATGGTTTTCGCAAGCAGCCTTCTTTCATTTTGCATACTTTTTACTGTGGGCCTTCATAGTAATTTTCAACACCTTGTGTCAAACAATACGCTATTGTACAGAACAAAGACATTCAATTTGTCTAGCGGACAGATTATGGCAAACAAAAGAATGTCCGTTAACGTGTGTTATTTTTCACAGTTTTAAACAGCACTGAATAAGACCATAATTTTTCACCGATTTTGTTAATATGTTGACTGAGTAATTTTGTTTTGTCTTCCATGTTTTCAACAGTTAAAATCGTTTAAGTTTGTGTTGTTTGTTTGTTTAGAAAAACAAAATATAATCTGATCAGATGTCAAGACGTTTATGACCCAGACTATGAAATAAATAGCGTGATGCAATTGTATTGTTCAAACATGTATATACTTAAACAAGAATCCGATAATCATATCAGTCACACAATAATACACTAGCAAACTAATTTATATACAGAGCTGAATGTTACATGTACAGTTTTTACAACAGTTAAATCACTCTTTGAAAGCGCCACGGATACAAGACTTATGGCAGCCATGAACATACTGATATACATTGTTCTATAGATGCGCGAAAATATGACTATTAAGAAATTATTGGTGTAGAAATATTCGCGCTGAACATGAATTCGCGGATCGAATGTCACCGCGAAGATCGCGAAAATTTGAAGCCCGCAAATATTTCTACACATACAGTATGATGAAAGTAAAACTAATGTACAGCTGCCCATATCTGATAAGATGAAAGTAAAACAATGTACATCTGCCCAAATATAATAAAATGCAAGTAAAATAATGTACAGCTGCCCATATCTGATAAGATGAAAGTAAAAATTACATAACTTTTAATTAACTTTTTAGGGGCATTACAGACATACCAACTAGTAAAGGACATAACCGGCAACTTTCCAGCTTTACACGTGGATCAAGACCTCAGTTGTTCCACTGTGCATTATTTCAGGTACTTGTAACTGTCACTTCACATACTTTGGGAAAAAGGGTCTCAAATTTAACACAAACTTTTAACAAGTTCTTGAAAATAGAAAAGCAAAAAGCACTGGGAAATACTAATAAGGCTGTAAAGGACCTTAACTCAACACCATTATTTAATTTTGTTCTAAATTCTATGGGAAATTTCAAAAGACTGGGGAATTTTGAGGACCAAACTGGGGAAAAAAGAGGCTAGTTTGGTTGAGGAAGCAGCCTATATTCGGCCTCTACAAAGAAGGGTTTTTTTGCCCTGATAGCCATTCCGTCACCCTAATCCAATACACAAAAGTGAACTTTGCAAATAGTATATACGCCAGGTCTATTTGGGGGAATGAAAATACAAAATATAAATGAAATGTTTACCATACTTACATGTAAGCTATTGTGACATCTCGCTCCATCAGCGGCTGTTTTTGTTGTCTAGGAAGTGTTGGTAGATCTACTTCAAACTTTGGTAACTTTGTCATTGCCCCAGGCTTGAATAAGCAATAAAAGCACCAAGACTATCATTAGGTCATGGAAATTTTGGCACATTGCCATTTAAATGATCGTGAATATATGTTACATCTGTGTGTGAAGGTAAAAACTAAAAAACAACATTCCCTTTTGAAAAAGGAAAAAAAAATGCTCTTAAAATGAGTTTAAACAATGATAAAAGAGATAGCATATCCTTTAGGGTTTCTTCAAACAGATTCTATCATTTTGAGTTCCAAATTATGACTCCATTATTCCAACATGTCTATTCTTTTTTTTTTTCATCTTATTCCTTCTGACAGGAAATCAAATCATACAATCCAGAAAGGGTATCAAATCATAGAACCCAGAAATAAAATCAAAAAGGGAATCAAATCATAAAATCAATGAAAGGAATCAAATCATATAATTCAGATAGGAATGAAAACAACAAAAAAGAACCAAGAAAGGAAATCAAAGCAAAGAATCCAGAGAGGGAATCAAATAAAGAATCAAGAAAGGGAATCAAAAAATAGAATCCACATTAAGGGATTAAATCATAGAATTCAGATAGGGAGTATATAACAGAATCCAGACAGGGAATCAAATAACAGAATCCATAAAAGAAATCCTATAATAAAATTCAGACAGGGAATCAAATCAAAGCATCCAGCTGGGAATCAACAATAGTGTACAGTTTCTATGGGTATGAAATTTTTGTTTTGTTGGACATGAAATCAATCTAAAAGACTTTCAATCCCATACACGTATATCTAATTAGCATCACAGAAAACATGTTACTCCCAGGCATTGAACTTCGATTCACCTCACACAATTGACAGATTCCTACTGAGTTAAGGATGCATGCTCGACAAAAATAAGTGAGTCAGTCACATCATACAGTGTATGAATTCCGGAACTTCTTTCTTCCTGAACTTCTCCCTTCTACCTATAGATGCTTGCAAAGCTCATGATCTCAAAGTACCAAAATATCACCTTTTTTTTTCGCTGATTCTTACATTTTTCATATATTATTGTATATTATAAATCAGTGTGAAGAGATTAACTAGATGGCAAGACTTAAGCAAATAATCATTCCAGCGCCCTGTCCGGTATAAACCGAATAATGGTACAGTTAAAAGTGTGGTACTCCAACACTTTTTGTAGTCTCACTCCTATTTTCTATGTTCATACATATGAATTCTGGAACATTTTGGATGATTTTTTTTTTTGCATTTGCATTCTTAGCATTTCGAATGTTTGTGTTTACCAGACCTTTCAAGAAGGAAAACACTGGTGTGTGGCAATTATGGTTTTATGACACAATATAGGGTTAACACCCATTTTTCGTGTTATAACATCTGCAGAGTCCCGAGGAACAGTTGGTGCTCGAGCCCGGTAGGGCGAGGGCTCCAACAGTTCCGAGGGACTCTGCAGACTTTATAACACGAAATAAACGTGCGTTGACGCTATTATAGCATAAAATTTTAAAAAAAGATTCATGATGTATATTTAATACAAAACACATACATTAAATCCTTGTGCTTGGACGGTATTTATTCAATTCTACATGTTTTACGTATGCGTTTTATTTTTCCGGGGCCAACTACTTGGGAAATTCAAATGCTCAGAACCGTTCGAAAATTCAAATTTAAATTGATTTAACAAAGCTTATCATTGGATATTTATTAACTCAAAAAAACAAAACAACAACAAATTACTCTGCCCAAGACAAAACATGATCCTCAGAAATTCTTAGAATGATTTCAGATTGACGGTAGATAAAAGATCAGTGACATCAGAATCGTTTTTTTTTTTCAAGCTCACAAGTTTATAAAAGAATATCAGGCACTAAACATTATTCTCTTAAAGAAATATAAAGAAAAGTTATCAATATAAACATCAATAAAACAACATTTTCTCATATTCATTTTGTGTTATCTTGTTTTGTAAGTTAATTTGAGGGTTAAACTGAACGACATTTATTTGTTTACAGTTTGACAACTGTCCGTTTCTTAGAAAGGGCGACAACCAAGATTAGCGGCGATGTCTATACGCCGTATTTCCAGCATAGATACTTGAATGCTGCTCGCGTTATGCAATTGAGGCCCTCGAATCAATAATTTCAATATAACACTCTGGCAAACAGGCCAAATCGTCATTTTTTTGTCTGTTTACTTGGCCCTGTATGTATTGCGCAAAGGTAAAACCGGGCTATAACAAGAGTGCGTGACTATGTTAACACATGGTTTTGGTCCCGTTATAACATGGGCAAAAGGGGGGAAAATATCCGATTTTAGGCTATAATAGGAGTTGAACATTTGCCTGTGAATCAGAAACAACGTTAAAAGATATAACAACTTTAATCCATAGAACAACAATGTTTGCATTTTATAAAGAATCAGTTGGGAGGTAATCATTTTATCAAGTGAAAATATTTCTGAAAATCAGGCTAAAATTGTACTTTGGCAAACAGGAAAAATGGCAAGAAATTCCACAAGACTTTTTTCATCTTTCTTTGCTGTTTTTTTTCCAGTTTTTATTTACATGGATTTATTCTTACATTTCATTTTTTAACAACATGTGTTTATATTATATAAAGGGCACAATTGAAATCTTTTAATACATATATCATGATGTTAACTAATAACATTGAAATATCACGAAAATTGTATATAATTTCCTGAAATTTGCATTGAGATATCAAGTTCCTTTAAGGATCAAGGTTGTATGTCAAAATGAATCGCTTGTCTAAATGTTGTGTCTAGTAATAAAGAGGCAAATGTTACGGCTAAACTTTTCTACAAAGCAGACGGAAAAACATTCAAATTAGACAGATGGACAAAGAGAAAGAAATACAATACAACCCAACACTCTCCAATATATCAATGAAGGGGCATAAGAATGTATAAAAAAAGGCTAAAAATAATCAACAACTTACATTAAAATATACAGGCTGCAGATTGTTGGCCAGTTGACCAGTAGCTACCAATAGGAGTCCGCCCTCGCTTCGTGACTGAGTAGAAAATATAATAATAAAATAACTAGAAATGTGTCCATAACACACGGTTGCCCCCAGCCCACCACTGATCTGTCAATCTTATGACTCTAGGTCAAATATTTTTTGAAAACTAAAAATCTTTTACTAAGTAAAGGGCAAGAACTTTACAAATACTGAATAAATCCACAAGCAAACCCCAAGGTGCATAAGTACACATGCTGACCAACATTCTTGTAAACTTTCAGGCCTACAAGTAAAATACTTTTTGAGCTATGCATGAACAAGTTGAAAATTGCAAATTTATACTACTGTAAGTCAAGGGGAATAACTCTAATAAAACTGAAAAAAATCCACAAGCAAAGTCCCAGGTGCATAGCTTCACAGTGATGTGAATCATTATTCCTGTAATTTAGTGATGTTTATCATTATTCCTGTAATTTAGTGATGTTTATCATTATTCCTGTGAAGTTGGTTGATTCTAACTCAAGCACTCAAGGAACAAATAACAACATAATGAAACGGTTTTTACTAAGTCAAGGGAAATAACTCTACAAATACTAGATAAATCCCCAAACGAAACCCTAGGTGCAAAACTAAATATGCTGAGCAACATTCCCGTAAGGTTTAATGACTCTATGTCAAATCCTTTTTGAGTTACATGCAACACAAGTTGAAAATTGCAAAAATTTTCTAAGTCAAGGGCAATAACTCTAAAAATACTAAATAAATCCAGACGAAAATACCCAGGTGCACAACTACACATGCTGATCAACATTCCTGTAAAGTTTCATGACTCTAGGTCAAATACTTTTTGAGTTACGTGTGACACAAAAGAGAACGGACAGCCGGACGAACGGACGGACGGAGAAGGGTAAATCTAAATGCCCACTACTAAAGTGGGGGCACAATAAAACTAGGCATTCATTGTCATATAAAAATTATTCTTTTTGACACAGTTAAAAAAGTTATTTCAGTTGATTCTGCAGAATATATATACATGTATAATTGTAAATGTACCTATAAAAGAAGCATCTATATTTACATTATAATCAAGACATTACTTGACACCTGTTAAATTTGTGTTATGGGTATCAAAATACAATATCTGAGCTACCAACAGTAAAGAGCCTGGTCAGTCTGTGCCACTGTGATGGCTGGCCTGGCTCTAGGTTTTTTTGTGGGGATGAGTTTTACATCGCCCCAACACAGTATAAGTCATATGGAGACTTTCCAGCTTTACTGGTGGGGAAGACCTCAGGTGCCCTTCCTTGTATTATTTCAGGCATGAACGAGCATCTGAGTAGAGTAGAACCATCAACGTTATTTAAGCTAGTTAGATAGCTTCTTCACATTGAAGAATCCAGCTTCCATGTCAGGATTCAAACCCACAGTGGTGAGGGGCAAATGGATTTAAATCAACAACCTTAATCACTCGGTTACAGACTTCTGGTCTGGCTATATCCCGGTGCCAAATGTTACCATTATCACTTCCAGTTCGGGCAAAGTAGGGGTTTATACAACAGTCCCTACCTTTCCGGCCTCTGTGGATGAGTGGTTAAGGTTGCTGACCTAAAATCACTTGTCCTTGTGTAACACCCACCTGAGACAAGAATTGTTTAATGTGAGGTATATAAGTGTACTCAGGTGCAATCTCATGCCTTAAATAATATTCTAAGAGGGATACTCAAAGTGTGCCTGCACCAGTAAAGCTGTAAAAATGCCATACAACCTTCACAGTGTCTGCAGTTCAATTTTTAACCTTTGACCAACCTTTTAGTATGACCTTGACCTTTGAAGTAGCAATCCGGGTTTTTTTTACTCTTGGCATCATCTCAGAATGGTAATCATTTATTCTAAGTGATTCTATAAACTTTTTTGGAGAAATGCTGACATTTTTAGTTTGTTTTGTTTGTTTTGGGTTTTACGTCACACCGACACAGTACAGTAAAAACCCGCTTTAAGACCACCCCGTTTTTGAGACCAACCCGCTAATACGAACGATTTTTTAAAGACCCGATTTTTTTATTCTTTATTTTAATGGTCGCTAACCCCGATTTTGAGACCACCCCGTTATTCCGTAATACGACCAGTAAATTCAGTCCCATTTCGTAAATTCTGTACGTTTGGAAACCCATTAATACGACCGCGGGCACTTTCTCACCTTGATATTGACATGCATGTATATTGCTGAAAGCTTTTTGACACGTGATGTAAACAACGGTTGTCCTAGTTTTACGACATTTAACGACATCCAATTTACGGCGGAGGTCAAGGTTACTTTGTATAAAATCCGGAAATGATCAATAATATTGTCGATAATTTCTTAGTTTCACACCTTTAAAGTCATAACTGGAGGGTTAAAACAACAAAATATTGAACAAAAAACTTTCAATAAGTTTTTTTTAGAGGTGTTGCCGCTATCATTATCTCTTTCGTTCCACAATTTTAAACAAACATAAACATGATACGATTAGGTTTTTGAAGTTGTTATCGGCGATGAAAACTGTGAAAATAATTAAAGGTTAATTGTTCGGTGTGCTTTGTAGTAAAATGGTGATTTAATTGAGTAAGATGTGTCATTCTTTTAACAAGAATGAAAAAATATGTTTGTGTTTAAAGACATTCATAATACATTTTGTACCTCTAAAGAAGTTTGAAAATTTTATAATGTTAAAAAGTGAAATGAAAAAAATAAATGAAAATAAAAAAAATAAAAGTGTATGCTTTATATCTTCTCATTTGAAATAGGTTAGCTCAGAAATAAACATGTGTACAATACATGGTATCCTGGTTTTCTGTTTGACCAAACTCATTAATGAGACCAACCCGCTATAAAGACCAGATTTGTAAAGTCCCTTCATTGGTCTCATTAGCGAGTTTTTACTGTATAGGTCATTTGGCGATGTTCCAGCTTTACTGGTGGAGGAAGACCTCAGGTGCCCTTCCATGCTTATTTCAGGCACAAACGGGCACCGGAGTAGAACCACAAACGTTCCGTAAGCTAGCTGGATAGCTTCCTCACATGAAAAAATCCGAAGTCCCTGTTGGGATTCGAACGTGACATTTTTAGATCAACCTTTTCATGTGACCTTGACCTTGGAGGTAGCGGTCGAATTGTTGCGCTCTGTACATCATCTCATGATGGGGTTGTGTGACATAATTGTGCCAAGGTATCTTAAATGAAATGCTGACTTTTTTTTTTTACATTTCACCTTTAAGAATAAACTTGACCTTGGGAGTAGGGACTCTGTTGTTGGGCTCTGTACATTGTCTCATAATGGGGATCATTTGAGCCATGTTATAACTTTTCAATACTTTAAAAGTTATAGAGTGAACATGAAAGTGTTACATAAAGACAGACAGAGTAACTGTTGGAGGCCATTCCTATTACTACCCCCCTCCCCCCCCCAGCTAACTCACAGGGGATTAACAAAGAATACTTACCATCCATACATGCCATCCTATACTAATACTCATTGATTTCAAATTTTTCAACGTTTTTTTCTCTGGATTTATCTGAAATAAAAATGAACAAAGGATGGGAACTTACGTTTTAATATTTGAAAGAGCTAAATTAATCAAATTTACATATCTTTTGGGTTTTTTTAAGGTTAAGTGTTATTAATTTGTTTTTCCTGCTAAATATGCTAAAAGAATGCAGATTAAAGGTGAAGAGTTTGTTGATGATATAGCAAAAAGTGTAACAAGTAAATGGCACAGCATAATGCAATTTTCAAGTTAGCCATTTTTTGATACACAGTTGTTAACACCTGTTGACAGCTTTATGAATAAACAATGGCCATAAGCAACAAGAGCTGTCACAGGAGACAGCGAAGCTCGACTAATAAAATACTGGACACAGTAAGGAGGACAAAACTATGAAAGAAAAATCAATTATGTTTAATTATGTATTAAGTTATAGTAAAAAAATAGTATTTGTTAACATAAATTCCAAGATCAAGGGGAATAATTCAAGAAATAGTCATGCTAGAGTTATGGACCTTGTCACAAAACATTGTAATGATAAGAAATATAAAAATATTTGAAGTTTGAAGTAGATGCCTTAAAAAGTAAAGAAGTTATAATATTTCTTAAAGAAAATCCTAAGTTCAAAGAGAGATAAATGTGTAAATATTGCTTTAAGAGTTATGAACATTGTCACATAAAATGTAATTGATGATAAGGAATAAGTATTTGAAGTTTGAGGTAGATACCTTTAAAAATAAAAAAGTTATAATAAAAAATAACATTTTTCTAGTAAAAAAAATCTAAGTATATGGGGAAATAATTCTTGCAATATTGGTGCTAGAGTTATGAACCTTGTCACATAAGATGTGGATGATGACAACATAAATACAGTCAAACGTGTATTAAGCGACCGGGCAAGGGAAACACCCAAAACGGTCGCTTAATGAAACGGTCTCTTAAGACAGTCAGCGTGATATAAAAGTCAAAATTTATAAATGACATCTTTTTTATTCGGTGGGATTGTTTTTCAACTTCATTTTTATATAAATGTTGAAACAAGTACGCTCCGATAATCTAAATGGATGCAAATGTAAAAAATAACTTTCTGATATTTATTGACAAAACAGTTTCAAGATCCATTACGTACATGTTTGACATTTTTTCCAGAATTTTTTAACTTCTCCGTTGTTTTCCTTGTCTCCAACACGAAAACCCTATTAGTGAAGACGTTTTCTGTTGTGCATTTTTTTTCATTTGAAATAAACAAACTACATCTATTTGTTACGATTAATTTAATGGCTGATCAAGTTCAAGGTCAATTCAATGCAGTCTAAATGTCAACAAGCGAAGCGTATACACCATCTCAGTATGGGCGGAGCGTTGCATTGTTTATCCGATATTATTGGATAATACACGTCACGCGTATACTTAACTTCATTTGCATACGCTAAAACGGTATGGGAAATAGAGTTTTTCACACGTTTATTGTTGTGTTTTGATTGTTGACACTTGTGACTTAACGAGGTGGCGTTCTCTAAAAACACAATTACTTGACAGGTAAAAGTGGTCGTTTAATGAAAAGATTGATGTCAATTAGGTGACTAATTAGCGGTCGCTGGTCGCGTTGAGCAAAAGTCGCTTAATACATTAAAGATATAGAGAGAAAATGATCGGGGGGAATTTAAAGTGGTCGTTTAAGACAAAAGTCGCTTAATACACGTGGTCGCATGGGCAAGTTAGACTGTATATTTGAAGTATTTAGTTCATCCCTTTAGAAATAAATAAGTAACAGTAAAAAAATAACATTTTTTATGGAAAATTCTAAGTTCAAAGGGAGATAAATCTGAAAATATTGGTGCTAGAGTTATGAACCTTGTAACATAGGATGGGGATGATGATAACGTAAATATATTTGAAGTATGAGGTTGATCCCTAAAGAAATAAAGAAGAAACAGTAAGAAATAGTACTTTTTGAGGAAAATTCTAAGTTCAAGGGGAGATAAATCTGAAAATATTGGTGCTAGAGTTATGAACCTTGTCACATAAGATGGGGATGATGATAAGGTACATATATTTGAAGTTTGAGGTTGATCCCTTAAGAAATAAAGAAGTTACAGTAAAAAATAGTATTTTTTAAGGAAAATTCTAAGTTCAAGGGGAGATAAATCTGAAAATATTGGTGCTAGAGTTATGAACCTTGTCACATAAGATGTGGTTGATGATAAGGAACATATATTTGAAGTTTGAAGTTGATACCTTAAGAAATGACAAAGTTATAGTGAAAAATATTTTACTGCACCAAAACTTTAATCTAAAATCTGGACGCGGACGCCGACGCCGGGGCGAGTAGGACAGCTCTCCATATACTTCGTATAGTCGAGCTAAAAATACATATCAAATAGTATGTTTAATTCATTAGCACCAGTCCTGTCTTTGAGGCTATTATTTGAGAAAACCAGACAGTTGTATTTTACGGTATCTAACAAATAAACCTAGTATGGTTTCTGACAATAAACTTAAGTCTACGTAAGTCTAAATTATATGACACTTAATGACCTGCTTTGTACCTCGTGCATACCTGAAACAGCTCAATGCCTGGCTTTGAACATATCTGAAACAGCTCAAAGCCTTGCTCCATGCATACCTGAAACAGCTCAATGCCTGGCTTTGTACATACCTGAAACAGCTGAATGACCTGCTTTGTACATACCTGGACAGCTCAATGCCCTGGCTTTATACATACCTGAAACAGCTCAATGCCCTGGCTTTGTACATACATGAAACAGTTCAATGCCCTGGCTTTGTACATACCTGAAACAGGTCAATGCCTGGCTTTGTACATACCTGAAACAGCTCAATGCCCTGCTTTATACATACACTGGAGCCGCGATATAGCGCTCTTCGGTATAGCGCTAATCTCAGTAGAACGCTCATATGCCTTGGCTCCCAAAAAAAAAATCGTATTTTTCGCCGATTATAATTTTTTTTTCATGTATATCAATACCGCACCTTATCCACTATAACGCTTGTTCAGTGTGTCAGTCGAGTGCAATAAACAGTCATAATTACGTCACTCATGATAAGAAGGTGTGAAGTCATACAGGGGTAAGCGTTAATCCGCTCTTTTGTTCATTTTGAACTGTTGATCAGTCAGGTATCAAACTGTTAGCTAAAACATGCAAACACCGAAGAGTTAAGTAAATCACCCAAGCGTACAATTAATTTTAAAATTACTTTCGATCTATTGGCAAAAAAGTTGTTGAGGATGACTGATTTTTTATTCACAAGAGACAGCAGGAAAGACAATTAATTTAGTCCCATCCACTAGGTATCAATTTTCATGACCACACATAACACACGTTAACACCGCTGTTTTACTGGAAATTTATAAACAATTGTACATTCGTGGTTTATATTTTTAATTCGTAAAGTTCATGTTTATATTAAAGATATTCAGTAATGCTTTACAAAATAATTAATAATAATATATAAAAAAGCTTGGACTGATATCCATTGGAAGGTAAGTAAACAATCATTTCCACTAACAAGCGTTATATTTTTCTGCGATGGGTGGGGTAATGCGATATTTTCGCTATAATTACACAATGAGAGTTTTAAAAAGTTACTCGTTACAACGCTGTCTTGAGATCATGGACCCCAACATGAGCGCTATATCGCGGCTCCAGTGTACCTGAAACAGGTCAATGCCTGGCTTTGTACATACCTGAAACAGCTCAATGCCTGGCTTTATACATACCTGAAACAGGTCAATGCCTGGCTTTGTACATACATGAAACAGCTCAATGCCCTGCTTTATACATACCTGAAACAGCTCAATGCCCTGCTTTGTACATACCTGAAACAGCTCATGTCTGGCTTTGTACATACCTGAAACAGGTCAATGCCCTGCTTTATACATACCTGAAACAGCTCAATGCCCTGCTTTGTACATACCTGAAACAGCTCATGTCTGGCTTTGTACATACATGAAACAGCTCAATGCCCTGCTTTATACATACCTGAAACAGCTCAATGCCCTGCTTTATACATACCTGAAACAGCTCAATGCCCTGCTTTGTACATACCTGAAACAGCTCATGTCTGGCTTTGTACATACATGAAACAGCTCAATGCCCTGCTTTATACATACCTGAAACAGCTCAATGCCCTGCTTTGTACATACCTGAAACAGCTCATGTCTGGCTTTGTACATACATGAAACAGCTCAATGCCCTGCTTTATACATACCTGAAACAGCTCAATGCCCTGCTTTGTACATACCTGAAACAGCTCATGTCTGGCTTTATACATACCTGAAACAGCTCAATGACCTGCTTTGTACATACCTGAAACAGCTCAATGCCTGGCTTTGTACATACCTGAAACAGGTCAATGCCTGGCTTTGTACATACCTGAAACAGCTCAATGCCCTGCTTTATACATACCTGAAACAGCTCAATGATCTGCTTTGTACATACCTGAAACAGGTCAATGCCTGGCTTTATACATACCTGAAACAGCTCAATGCCTGGCTTTGTACATGCTTGAAACAGCTCAATGCCCTGCTTTATCTTTGTACATACCTGAAATAAATCAATGACCTCCTTTGTACATACCTGAAATAAATCAATGGCCAGCTTTGTACATACCTGTAACAACTCAATTCCCTGCTTTATACATACATGAAACAAATCAATGACCTGCTTTGTACATACCTGAAACAGCTCAATGCCCTGCTCTGTTACAAAAGCTATCTCTCCAACATTAGTCCAAACAAATCCTTTAATTTGATTTGATCTTCCCTGAAATATAAAGAAAAATACCTCATTTATACATACATGTTTCTTAAATTAGCAGAATATCTTCTAAAAAATGTGAAAAAAGATGCTTATTGTATGTGACTATGAGATTCTTGAACCCTTAAAGGGTAGAAAGCTTTATCTTATGAAATATTTTTTATCAAATTTATCAACAGTAAAATTACATTGGTTCCATAATCTTATGGTCGATTCTCGAAGAGCTGTAACTTAAAATATGCCTCTGTTATTTATTTCACACACATGCATATTGTATGTAGACAGAAGAAAGTGTTCCATTACAAAATATTATTCTGCCATTTTAAATAGGAGTTTATCTGCTAAGCAATGATTTCATTCCTGCTCACTTGCTTCTAAGGCAATTCATATATATTCATTTCATACAAGCACTTTGAAATTATTATTTTTTTAAAATTCAAACAATAATTTTTGCAGCAGGTATATAGCTTTATACACTTTAATTTACTTTATTTCTTTAATTAAGCAATACTTATTCATTCTCTCCTGGAGCATCACTACTTAATTCAGGTCATCAACAATACATTATTATTCAACTCTTCAACAACGCATATTTCTAAAATCTTGTCACAAAGAACATTTTCATGGGTTCTTAATATATTCGTGGACTATTTATTTTTCAGTAATGTTAAATGTAAATACATTGGTAATGTGATGCAAGATAATCTTACATGAAATTTCCTCAGATCTTATATTCGTGGATTGATCTATCCACGAAAATTAGCATCCTACAAATAATAATGATTTTGCAATACTCAACCATCTTACATGTATATGCAGACCTACCTTACATGTCTGTGAATACTCAGCAGTGTCTGTTGTCAAATCCTCTTGGAAATTTATAAATTCCTGAAAAAAAAACAACCCTTAAAGTCATCATTATTCTCCATAAACCTGCTTAATTTATGTCATGGATTTACCCTGCTTTGAATTTGGAATAGTCCATTTAAACTATAAGGAATTTCAATGTCAAAATATGAACATACACCAAGAGATGTGTTTGTTTGTTTTGGGTTTTACGTCACATTGACACAGTATAGGTCATATCGCGACGTTCCAGCTTTACTGGTGGAGGAAGACCTCAGGTGCCCTTCCGTGCATTATTTCAGGCACAAACGGGCACCTGAGTAGAACCACCGACGTTCCTTAAGCTAGCTGGATAGCTTCCTCACATGAAAGAATCCAAAGTCCCTGTAGGGATTCGAACCCACAGCGGTGAGGGGCAAGTGGTTTTGAAGTCAACGACCTTAACCACTCGGCCACGGACGCCCCCCAAGAGATGTGTCAAAAATTGTTATCCTACCGGATAATTGATTGGTGCTGACTAAATGGTGGAGACTTATCAATTATTGTTATGTGTTTATGAAATCTACGACATTCCCCCCTCCTCCCCCGTAGTCACTACCCCCACTCTAAAAGTGCATCCCATGACATTTGTCCCATGTTGTAATGTTACGGTGGACATTTGCCCCAAGATTTCTGATTATTTTGAACATTCCCTAACAATACATGTATGTTTAATATAGTATTAACTTTATATGCTTCAGTATTTTAATGCATTTATTATTGGCTGAACTGAAAAAAAATATTTACTGTAAATGTGTTTCTTTTTTATACATGATATTCTTATTTTGGGGCAAATGTGCGATTAGATATTTCCACCAGGGGGCAAATCTCCATTAATGCAATTTTAGAGTTGGGGACCTAATGTCCAGGGGTTCAAGTTTCCAGCCTTTTATGATTGTTTCCAAAACAAAACAAGATGTAAAAAAACTTATATAACAAAATTGCCATATCTTAATCCAAGTTAATCCTATATGAAAGAGTTGATAATTATGAAATTCTGAACTGAATTTATCTGCAAGCAGACGCACATACAAAAATTAAAAATAGCATTTTTTTTCTTTGTTTCTTTTCTTTTTTTATGAGCAGCCAGAAATTTCAATAGCTCCTTGAAGACTTATTGTCAAGCAATAAACGTTGGGATTTCAAGAAATTTTTTAAATGTAATACTTTTATTTCAGGAATAATCTGAATTATAACAATTTCTTTTCATACCACTGACTTGGATGATCTTTGTATAGCTAACACTCGTCTATCTGGTGAAAATTTCATAGAAATAACCTCACCCCTGTCCTCCATTCTGAAATTAGAAAGGAAAATCACAAAAATGTTCCATTTTTTAACAATAACCTTCTAAAGTTTGTGTAATGGACTAGCCATTCTATGAAAATAGAATAGTCCATTTGAAGTATAAGGGATTTTAATATCAAAATATAAAAATTGAATTACAATCAGTATTTTTAGCATAGTCAGACTGTATAATATGATGGCAAGGACGACCTCATACATTTATTATAGTAATGAGTAGCAGGGTATACCCAGCTGTTGTTGTTTTGTTTTGTTTTTGTTTTGGGGGGGGGGGTTTCACAGGTAGGAAAATTAACATGATATTTTAGTAAAAGGGGAAGAATTCTTTAATCAAGAGATATCTTCAAACAACAAAAATCCTAAAAAGCTATGGAAAAATTTAAAAGACTTGAGTGGAAAAGCTGAAAACCACCAAACTAATTACATTAATGATGACAGTGGAAATCCAGTCTATGACCCTAAACAGACAGCAGAAATTTTTAATACATTTTTTTCAAATTTATTCAAAAATGCAGAAAATATTACAAAACTAACAAGTGCAAATGAATACATACTCAAAGAAATGTTAAACAGCATAATTGACCAAAATACACCAAAATTTGATATTCCACCTATAGATCCAAGTCAAGTCAAACAAGCATTAGATTCTCTTGATGTTACAAAGGCTACTGGACTTGATGGCATTAGTGCTAAATTTCTAAAAACTGCATCCCCGGTTATATGTAGACCAATTTCTACTATTATCAATTTGAGTATCACAACAGGTAAATTTCCTGAAAAATTAAAACAGTCTAAGGTCACACCATTCTTCAAAAAGGACACAAATCAGATAAGAATAATTATAGACCTATATCTGTTCTTCCAATACTTTCTAAAATATTTGAAAAACATGTGTCTGATCATTTAAAACAATTCCTAGAATTGTATAATTTCATTTTCAACACCCAATCAGGATTTAGAACAAAACATTCATGCGAAACTGCATTGACAAATATTGTGACAACTGGATTAAGGCAATAAATGATGGAAAGCTAATTGGCACAATCTTTCTTGACTTGTCAAGGCATTGACCTTGTAAATCATAAGTTACTCATCCAAAAACTTTATTACTATCATATTTTCTTCTGGTGCAATTACCTGGTTTACATCATATCTTGAAAATAGAACACAGAAGGTCACTGTATCTGGCAACCTATCAAAATCAGCAACAGTCATATCAGGGTACCTCAAGGATCTGTCCTTGGACCTCTGCTTTTTCATCATATACATAAATGATCTACCACTCCATTTGAAAACCTCAGAGCAGATCTTTTTGCTGATGACACTACTCTCATAGCATCAGGTCCTCTCTACACAAGATTTACATAATAAACTTCAAACTGACCTTGACAATATTAATCTATGGTGCAAACAAAATGCAATGATGCTAAATGCCCAGAAAACAAAAGCAATGAACCTGTCATCCAATAGAAATAAACAACAATTATACAACCATTACATCTGCAAGAACATGAAATTGAATTTCTGAGACAGAGAAGTAACTAGGTATTCATGTTGACAATAATCTTAAGTGGAAAACCCAAGTAGACAAGACATTAAAGAAATGCAATACTTAGTTGTACCTTCTCAGAATAAAACCTTGATGAAAATGCAAGAAAATAGTTCTTTAATGCCCATATCTTACCTACAAGGTTATTGTTGTACAGTCTGGGGGATTGTAGCAATGCACAGATTTGGGATATACATGAAATAAAACATTTCAGAAAAGAGCTGCAAGAATCATGTTTGACAAAAACTATGATGCTCTATTTGCTGAGTTATTTAATGAATTAAATTGGATAAAATTTGATGAAAGAATTAGATACAAAAAAGCTGTCATTATGTATAAATCTTTAAACAATGCCTCATTTCCACAGTACATGAAAAACAAATTTCAATTTATTCATCAAAGACATGAGCATAACCTTAGGTCAGCAAAAAACTCAGATTTATTTGTGCCACAAACCTAAAAAAGAAATTTTTAGAAAATCTCTGACATATTCAGGCCCTAAACTATGGAACAATATCCCTCATTCTATTCGTAAATCTGAAACTATTAGAAAAATTCCAAGCTTCCTATATCAGTTGGAATTTCACATAAGTACCTTGGTCTTGCATAGATTAAGTATTAAGTAATATATGTACATGCATTGTGTTTTGAATATGTATTTTGTTTGAATGTACATTGTTTTTGTTGTGTTTTCATGTATATATTATGCATTTTTGTCTTCATGTATGTTATTTGAAAATTTTGCTGTATAACCATTATGTAAATTATGTATATTTTATGTATATTTATGTTTTGAGGCCCACATGGAAGATTGGGAAACCAAATGTGTAGCCTCAGTAAATAAAGACTTTACTTACTTACTTACTTACTTTAGCATCAAGCAAAATGATATTTATTGATAATAAATAAGAACATGTCATTCCCCAGTCACAGGGAACTGATTGACACCACTAAATACCAGTTTTTATGAAAAAAGTGTCCAACATTAACTTCGTAGGTTAACAGTAAAATAGCCCCTGCTAAAGCCTGTAAACAAATAATTAAAGCTTGATACCAAGAACCTAAAGAGTCTAAACTACATGTAGTAACTGTTCATAATCAATATTGTCCACTGCATTTCCATACTACAATATATATTAAATATCTCCTAGTAATACTTACCTAAATGTGATGCCATTTTTATCATTTGGCCCCTTCACAACTACTCCCATTGATCCACCAGATCTAACAGCAAATACCTGAAGTATATAAAAGATATTGAATGATTGTAGGTTCAATACTAAATTTATTCAACCAGTTCAATAAATCTAGTATTGAATCTACACGAATAAAATATTCTAATTAATACCATATATAATATAAGAACGGTAAACTGTTGAAAAGAGTCATTTTTTATTGTATGCTTCTGTAGTGTAATGCTAACATTAACACACTTTAACGCTATGCTTATATATAACGCAAGTGACATCACGTCACAATTACTGGGGAAAAAAACATTTGGCTCCTGCTGGCAATTATCTCCTTTTTTTTGTTAATGTGGATATTTGCCCCCCGCCCCATCCATTGTGGAAGGGCAGACATCCCCCATCCCCCCTTGGGGCCAATATTTGCAGTTAAAATATGGAATGAATTTCAAGGAAAACAAAGCACTGAAACACCTTACAGTGATAATAATGCATTCTGTTTAAATTAAAGTGCATGCATATTATAAGCCAATAAGGAAACATGTTAAAGATCACTGAACAAACTGCTAATTTACAGTTTATTATGACCAATCTTCTTGGCAGAAATTCCATGAAAAGAAAACAGAAACTGTAAAGGAATTAATTAAACTGTTAAATAAAGATCCATGTGTGGTCCATGTATTTCAGACAAACATTATTGCTGATGTTATATCCTGTTTTATACACAGTGACTGGAAAAAAACTTCTGTTCTAAATGCACTTCAAGAGATTTTGTGTTTTAATTCAATGAAAATTTGAAACTTTCGGGCAGTAATTAAATTCCGATTTCATATTTTGTCATAATTGTAAGCATGTATTCTTAAGTTTAAAAAAATTCTCTAAAGTAAATAAATAACTAAATTAACCTCATTAAATTTTGCATTGCACAAATTTATGCACAAATTAGTGTATGATAATGAAGATTTTCAAAAAAGTGCCGGAATTACTACCGTTCACCAATCTACAATGCTGTTCAACAAATTTGTTTTCATGATACTTCTTAGTCTAGTTATATTACTTAATATCTTAAAATACTTGCATGATCAAATACGCAATTTGTGTGTGGTGGCGTGAGTTTATCCTCCGCATGATGACAGTAATCTGACTATACAGTATCTTAGCTTAAGGTCTTCAGCGTACCCCTTTATATACTATGAGGACGTGAACGCTGAAGACAACCCCGTAGAGAAAGTCAACCAATAAACGTGCCAGGAATCTGATACGCTCGTATTTATTCATCGAACATGCCATGAAGTAAAGTGAAGCATACCTTGATAATCTGTTGATAAGCCAAGGATGGACAAATAAAAATCTTATTACAAACATAAACTACCTTATGGTTTCCGACAGGTAAAAATTTCGGCACTTGGGTGCCATATTGCCAAAATGTTTGACCATGTGATTACAAGATTGACCTTTACGAACCCATGTGCTTCCAATATTTTTATAATTACTTTTTTTAAAGTTGAAAAAGGTGATTTACTAACTTTTGTATTCAATAAAATCATATTTAAAGCTGCATGCCTCCAGATTAGTCAAAATATTTCAATAAAATCAAACTTGAGAAATAGGTACCACGATTTTAGGAAAAGCAAAATGATTCAAGATTCAAATAATATTTTATATGTTATGTGCGGTTAATAACTGATGTTACAGTATTTACAACTATATTTCTACTGCGTTACTAACGCAGTAAGGGCTATTTATTCAATATTTTGACCACTTTTTGGTAATTTACGTGGGTTGTAAGTGCCATTGATAATGTGTAAATTGCTTCCTTTTGGTTATTTCACAATATTATACATTTAAATACATTTTAAAAATTTTCATGAAAATTAGCGTGAATCTGGTTTAAGTATTAAAAAAATAATGAAAATAAATACAAACATTATCTTGAATATAAATATTGAAATCAATTGTCAACAAAGATGTTCTAAATATAGTACACGACTCTATTCTAATCGGTTCCCGCGAATGACGTCATACGATGTCTCGCGTGGCACCTAAGTGTCATGGCCGACTGTAGTCGGAGTAATTGATGTTTTACAGTTAAATAGGCAATTCTAATGACGGTATTAATATTTTGATACTTTATTTGGTATAGAACAATGTTAAAATAATTGTTTAATCATAAAATGCACAAGAATTGGTTGGGTCAAGACTGGGACATAAGATAATCTTATGTCCCAGGTCAAGTGTATTTGCAAGTGAAAAATAAGGTTAAATCAACTTATGTTATTCTGGTTAGGTTTCGTAACGGGTCTAATCCAAAACGTTAATGCTGCATCAGATGAAAAACAAAAATGTTTAATAGCGGCATATAAAGTTTTGGAAGCCAGAACTAACAGTATCTGTGCTAGAGTCTAGATCAATACATATGTAATAGATGACCAAATTTACTTTATATAAGTACTATATTTCTATTTAATTCTGATATCTTAATTTCCATTATGCTAGTACTGATACTTTACAATCACGTTTGAAACACTATACGATCACTTTTGAAACACTATACGATCACTTTTCTTGTTTAAAGTTAGGCAATATTATTACGCTGCTAAACAATAAGTATTTGGAATCATTTGGCACTTTTGCCAACTTAAATTTATCCCATTCTGTATGTTAATTGCTATTAACAAGTGTCCTGTTAATTAACACGTTTATGACGTCACTTTATGACGTCAAACTTGAACGAACACTTGGACGTGAAGGTTTGACGTCATAAAAGGGAGAAGCGCTCTGACCACCATTGCGGTAATCCGTCGTTTTCATTTCTCGGAAGTTTTCCGATTTTCTTTTATTTCCCCTACCTTATTTATTTTATATGCATGTTAATTATGAAATATAATGACTTAAATATTTAATACAATTCATAAAACTTACATTTGCCTTTATTCTCATTTCTTTTGTTTAATTTACACAAACGGTCCTGTGATATCGAACCGAAAGACTGTTCCCCGTTTACACATAGATAAAATTTCCATAATATAAAACATTTCAAATACAATCAATTACATCAATTAGAAATCAGAAGATGAAAATTTGGAATATTATTTATCATAATTAAAAGTGCAAGGATAATCCCAGTCAAACAACTGTCAAATGGCTGAAATGGAGTGGAATGGGGACAAATGTCCACACGCAAATAACATTTAACAGATATTTCTGCGGGTGATTGCCATCCCTTTCAAAACATAAAAGTTATATCTGCACCGTCAAAGTACGGGGACAAATGCCTCAGTAAGGAGGGGGGTGAGGCAACAAAATAGCCACAAATGTCCAAGAATCCGATTACTGTTATATAGACGGACACTAGTGCACTTATGTTTCAATTAAGGAAGTGATGTTTCTACCCATTATATTATTACGGTTTTGTTCAAAAACTCAATATAACCTGTTGATTTGCATCATCGTAGAACACATTCGTCACTTTACTGATGGGTTCGAACCTTATTGGCGACTTTGACAGTTCAATATAGTGGAGTCCGTCCGAAGTAGCCATTTTAGGTTGCACACCCTCAAAAATCAATAATACATTGAGATCGGTATGCCTAAAATACGAAAGTGAGATTTTTGACGAAAGTGAGCGAAAGTGAGCGAAAGTGACTTTTAAAATAGTAATTATAACATTTTAATAGACTTTTAAAACAAACTTGCAGTTTGTAGACGTATATTATTAGAAAATAATTATATTTATTAACAGAAATAATCATAATGATGATTTAATCGCTACGAATTTGCATAATTTCTATACTGCAGTACACAAGTTCTTATATCTTCCTTGAGTTCACATTGAAAAATACGAAAGTGACTTATAAAATATTAAATATTCTTTTTAAATTGAAATTTTTACTAAAATTACAATTTGTAGATGTATATTATCAGAACTTGATGATACCTATTTTTTAAAATAATCATAATGATGATTTAATCGCTATTTATTTGCATTATTTTTAGACACAAGTTGAGATATCTTCCTTCGCTCAGATTGAAAAAATACGAAAGTGACTTCAAAATATCAAATATAGCGATTAATTTGAATCTATATAATTATAAAAGATTGTAGACGTATAGTTTTGGAATTTGATCGGTAATATCTATTTTTAAAAATTATCATTATGATGATTTAATCGCCATTTATTTGCATAATTTCTATACACAAGTTCAGAAATCTTCCTTTCGCTCACATTGAAAAATACTAAAGTGACATATAAAATATTAAATATACTGGTTAAATTGATTTTTTACTAAGATTTCTCTAAGTAGACGTATACTATCAGAAATTGATAATATTCATTTTCAAAAACAATCATTATATATGATGATTTAATTGCTATTTATTTGCATAATTTCTATACACAACTACATAGATCTTCCTTTCGCTCACATTGAAAAATATGAAAGTGACTTATAAAACATTCAATATACCGTTTATTTTGAATTTATATTGATACAACAGTTTGTAGACACATAGTTTCAGAAATGAATAAAAAATACTTAAAAATCATTATGTGAATAGTTGTATATATGTTTGAAAATGCATGTATACGAATGAGACAAAATAAAGTATGAATATGTTTACATGCAAACACGGTTGTCATATCATTTTCGCACCCACTTTAATTGATAGTACACACGACGGTGACCGCATGACGCTTTAATCCCACTAAAGTATTATTATAATCCAATCATAGGTATGTAACTGATGACACTTGCCCGGTTGTTTATTGAGTGGACAATTGAATTAACCTTTCTTCTGCACCACCATAGATATCTTGCACGGATAAAAGTGGCAGTTATTAGGCTCACCCAGGTGTAGATGAGCAATGTACATGTTAATTTGAAAAATAATTTGGAATTTCCCATCATTATGTTAAAATGATATTTCACTATGAAAAAAGGAAATAAGTAATCCACGGAATTTTCTATAAATATCGTATTATATATATCGGTAAAGTTCAATCTTTTTATAAGTTAGGATTTTTTTTTTATATTTTGTGCTAGTCATTTCATCATCAATTATAGGTCAATCACCATGAAAACATGAATAATAATGAAAATGACTCATTTATTTTTTTATTATAAAAAACATTAATATCGTGAATATTGACATTGACTTTCGTCCGATTAAGTCACTTTCGTATTGTTCAATGTGGGCAAAAGTAAGATATCAGAACAGCTATACAGCAATTATGAAAATACATGGATAATAAATCATCATAATGATTATTTTTTTAATATATTTTATTCATTTCTGAAAACATGCGTCTTTCAGCGCTATATTTGACATTTTTTAAGTCACTTTCGTATTTTTCAATGTGAGGGAAAGGAAGATTTGTTAACTTGTGTAATGCAAATAAAAGGGCGGTTAAATCATCATAATGATTATTTTTAAAAATAAATATAATTGACTTCTGATATTGTACGTCTACAAATTAATTGCAATTTTAGTAATACATTCAATTTAAACAGTATATTTGATATTTTGTAAGCCACTTTCGTATTTTTCAATGCGAGCAAAAGGAAGATCTCTGTATATAACTTGTGTATATAGATTATGCAAAATAAATGGCGATTTAATCATCATAATGATTATCTTTGAAAGTAAATATTATCATTTTCTGATATTATACTTCCACTTTGCGCAATAATAGTAAAAATAATTTAAACAATTTAAATGGTATATTTTATATTTTATAAGTCACTTTCGTATTTTTCAATGTAAGCGAAAGGAAGATATAAGAATTTGTGTATATAAATTATGCAAATAAAAACCGAATAAATCTTCATTATGATTATTTTTCATAATAAATATAAGTAATTTCTAATAATATACGTCTACAAACTGCAATTTTATTGTAACAGTCTATTATAACGTTACAATTAATATTTTAAAAGTCACTTTCGCTCACTTTCGCTCACTTTCGTCAAAAATCTCACTTTCGTATTTTAGGCAAACCCCATTGAGATCCCTACTGGCCCCTCAGTACTAAATAAAGACTGTATAAATAAGTTATATTCACTTGTATTTATTTTGTTTAAGACAACCCATGGCCCTTGGGGACATAAAAGAGTACAAACAATATAACAAATGATAAAACAACATGCACAATCCTCGGAAACTGAGTGCATCACAAGCACCTGCTACCAGAAGCAGTAACAAAAACAGCAGATTATTTTTGATTCACATAACATTTTTATATTTGTGCATTATTTGTGCACCGAATTTTCAGATTCTAATATTATTTGAAAGTTCGTGTATTTTGGCAATTTAAGAAGTTTTTTTTCAATATTCGCCTTTAAAAAGAAAACTTAGCTAATTTTCATAAGTCTTGTAAAGCAGCTTAGATGCACCAAATTTAAGCTTTTATAATTTTTTGACAATCTATTTTCAAGTATACTAAGTATGAGTTTACAGACCTTTCTTATGATATAAAATATATAGAGGATATAGCCACGAGTGAAAATACTGTTTTTAAAGTTCACGAGATAAAATAAAATTGCATCTTACACAACAAACAAACAAATTTTCTTTTTATTTTATGCTTAAAAACAAGTTAAAACGAAATTTCCCTGATCTTAACTTTAATTAATATTAAAATCTGTTTTCCCCACTGGTAGCTTCTATTACGTACATGTATAAGTCGAATTTCTCATAAAATACAAGAAGTCTTGGGCTGAAAAATAAGTTCGATAATCAACGTTAAATGGCAGTGATATTATTCATTTTATTTTAAAAAAAAAATGAATGATCGCTTGTTTTAATAATAAAAACAAACAATTCTAGTAGGAGAAAAAGTCCAACCATCCATCCATATTTCTGTTACTTACTGCGAATTTATATTAAACCTGGCTCTGTTAAATGTAAATGGCCGCTATTTTTAAAAGTTGTGTATTTCACGGGAGGAAAATAATTGTGTTTGATTCAGATGGATATCATTTGGATTTGTTAGTCATACACCTTTATAAAAGAAAGAAAACTAACTTATTTGAGGATTGTAACAGACATTATAAGTGTTGACAGATGTCTAAACATTCAAAAAACGGCTAGAAAATTGGTTGAGAGGCTGCCTCACGAACGCTGGGTTGTTTACTTATTTTTCGGGCTGATGGCTGACATTGCTTTTCAAGTTTTCATGAAGCATACGACAGTTTTTTTCCCGTACGATACTTAAATATGCCCAAATATCATCAAGAACAGTTTTGCATGTGGAAGGAATGTATTTTTCAGACTGTAAAAATGAAACAAAAAATAAGATAATTTGGTAATTTGGATGAATAGAAGTAAGTTTTCTTCTTTTTATTACTTTTGACATTTAAGTTCTTTATCAATTTCAGCTTTGCTTTTCTCTAAACAGTCTGACATTGTCAAAATTGTCAGCAAAAATAAAATTGAGGTACCACATGAGGAAAATCTTAAAAATGTAGGGGTTACTTATAAATCTATGCCCTCTGATTAACAAAATGTTCAATTTGTTATGCGTTCATATGGTCGCACGATCACTTACAACAAATTTTGAAGTATTTTTTTTACTTATTTTGATAGTAAGTTGATGAATGAATGTAGTGAAAGTAGGAATAAATGAAAAAAGTGGAAGTAGGATTTTTTCTTTTAATGGGTGGGGCAAAGCATTATAGAACTATATTGTCAACGTATGTCTAAAAAGAAAAGGAAAATAACATTTTAGAAAAGGGGGATCATTTTGTAAAGGTGCATGACAGAATAAAATGCCCTTTAATAGAGCTTGGCTCTCTCTCTCTCTCTCTGTCACGGCCAAACGACGTTTTCCCCCAATTGGCCTCCACTTTCCACGCTCCATGCTCTTACTCTTAAAAAAGTCCATCTGGCCTTTACTTAAAATTTGTACTAGCTACAGGGCCTATTCAAAAAAAAAACTAGACAAAGTATTTAATTTTCTATCATTGCAAGAACAATGTTTTGTTTCATGAAATAGAGAAAATAAGAATCCCTAAAGAAAGCCAAGCACAGCAAAATTGAAAATATTGCATGCTCGGTTTGATTGAGCCTGTTCATGTACTGTACGTACTGTCAAGTGCAAACTACCGTCCACGCCCTCTAGCACCGGCTTAAGCAGAATTCAACATTTTACATGAATTGGTACAATTTTGAATTTTGAAACATCCGCAAATGTGTTCATATGGCGGTTATCATGGAACCTTCAATGTGACACGTAAGTGCCATTCCATGAAAAGCAGCAAATGGTCCCCAAGTAAAAAAAATGCGTATGCCCATCATGAAGATTCAGTATGTATCATTTAACTTTACATGTACATTGAGAAGAATTTAGATTTAACATCAACAGGTCAAATTTGAAAGACCCTGATATGAATTTGATTCTGACATGCTCAAGAACCTCCGTAGACCATCTACTGCATTTAAGTGCGCTTGAAGTATACCTTCTTCGAATACTCTTGTTTGGCTTGCGTCATAATTAAAGCACCGAACTCCTAATTTACAGGTCGTGAATGCAAGTTCTATATACAATTTTATCTTCTACTCG